ACGGTGTCTTTCATTTTTTGTAAAGCACTTTGAATTGCCTTGTGTTGAAAGGTGCTATATAAATAAACTTGCCTTGCCTTGCCTATCACTTTGTGTTATACTCCCTTTGTCCTTGTGTTTAAAAGAGAAATTGGTGACTCAGCAGGGGATAATCTAACTGTTTCCTCCTCTTCCAGGAGCGAGTGGGAAACTTTCTGGCAGATTTCTACTCTGTGAACGGCTTGGTGCTCGAGTCCAGGAAGAGACGGGAGCATCTGAGCGAGGAGGACATCTTGAGGAACAAAGCCATCATGGAGAGCCTGAGCAAAGGAGGGAATATCATAGAGCAGAACTATGAGGTGAGTCAGCTTTCAAATATGGCTGAGTTTTCATTTCCACAGTATATTGAGGAAAAAAGGGGGCTACCACATTCTCGCAAAAGCAAACAAAGTAAAGGTTTTACAGCTGCAACCATTTTTCCGGAACTACATTTAGTCTTTTATTAAGCCATTTACTGTGTCTTAAGTGGGGTTTTTGTCCTTTCCATCGCCTCTACTCAAACTGATTCCCATCAAGGGGGTTCAATTTCAACGTATTGGCCCACGTGAGTAAAACAAACAAAGTTGGTGGATGCTGAGAAGTCATGCTGTCCTTGGTAAGAAACAGAAGAAGTTATGTCTACTAGTGTGCAGCTTGAACTTGAGAGCAATGGAGGAGGAACTTTTCAGTAAATGTTCTCGCGGATAAACATCCTGTTTACTCAAACTTACAGCGTAACCACCAGTCCAGTCCTGAAACGGTCCTGTCCCGCTGGAACCTTGGGGTAGGACTGAAGTCTCCGACCAAATAAACCTCACAGATCTCCCTACTGTATCTGCACTGCACTGTAGGAACATCACAGACCCCCTGCGGGACCCTGTCAATCTACTCTGCATGCTTTATTGAGACATTCCTGCGTTACTCCCCACTGTCGTTCTTTGATGTTAGATTGGTTTCAGAAATGAAAGCAGGATGAAAAGTTTATACAGGTCCGCCCCATCCACTCTGCATGAATTGAAGTCCCTTCAATGCCACCTAGTGGAGAAAGCTACACAGCTGCACCTTCAGACTCACACTCTGACAGTCCCACTCATCATCCGTCACTGCAGTATGTTCTAGAGTTTGCCCAGCCAGCCTTTGTCTAAACACCGAACATAAAGCCAGTCACACATGAGGAAAGCCTCTCGCCTCTCAATAGATTTTTAACTGCTCTGTGTGTTTTGTGTCCACTCCCCCTTGTTCTGTGCTGGTCTTTGTCTCATCATCTCTATTGTCTGTCAAACTATCACCACTTATTCAAATCACCCATGTGTATTGTGCAAAGCTGTGGGTCTTAGCATCGATGTGGGAATGTTTCTATTTCCACCGCAGCAGTGAAATGATATGTGGAATGTGGGTGAGAGGAAAATAAGCAGCTGCTGTCACGTAGCTGTGTTTACCGGGGCGATGCGGAGAGGGTCAGCGCTGCCTGTGGACAGCGTGGGGGCTTTTGAACAGGGCTGACACTATTGATCACATGGCTGAAGGCTAAAACCCCTGGTGCGATGGAATGATGGAGGGCGGTGAGCGGCACACCGGCCGATCAGGGCCTCAGCTGGCTGCGTGTACTCTGTCCTCGTCACAACAACACGCCACGACCCATACACACAGTGAGAGAGCACAAGGCCGCAGCCGGCAGTGAACACTCCAAAACATATCTGTGTTCAGACTGCAGCTGCGGAAGGAGAGGAACTAAGATATCGCCTCCTTTTGGATTCGCAGCAGTCTTCTTTCACAATCTTATGTCTCGTAGTTCACAACATTTTGCCACATTATTCTGCCCTCGTTGCTTTATTTAACCACGGCTTACAAAAGAGAGGTCAGCTGGCGTGATTCAGGTTGAATGTTGGGAGGAACATCGAGTTCATTTCAGGAGAAAGTCAATTTTAGGAGAAACAGGATGCAGCTCTTCATAGGGTCAGCCAGAGCAATCTTAAAATAAAGTGACGCTGAAGGAGAACTCTTTATTCAAGAGGGCAGGATCATTTTCCTCAGGAAGCTTCGGATATTATTTGATATGAGGAGGAAACTCGTATATGTTTTTATATGGCTGATCTCTAGAGAGGTGTATTTTCTTTGCTGGTGGATAGAGACACAGTTGATAACAAAACTGGAAGCAAAATTGCAATGGAGCAAGAAAGTAAACAACAAAAAGTAAATACCGAAATGTGTACTCATCCTCAGTTGTTCCCAGGACAACAAACATTTAACTTGTATCGACACAGACTGCTGTCTGAGTCTTTAATGCTTCTCTTTCTGGCTGTTTTCTGCTGCTGTAGAAATGTCATTCTCTCAAGTGTGAATGCAAAAAGGGTTAAGAGCAAAAATGCTGCTTTTCAGGAAGTTAGGGGAATTTGTACTTTGATAGATTAACACTGAAATAGGTTAATGTCTCAGGTATCAGCTGTTTAGTGGTGTCTTTAATTATAGTACTTCAGTTTCATTTAATCTGAGAGGCTGTAAAGGCCAAACAGAGGTTAGCGCGTTTAGTGAGGCAGCGGGGCCCCCTACAGGCCTGGGCTGTACATGGCATCGCTCTGTGGGAATGAATAATGGCAGAGTGATAGAGAAACAGTAACATTGTATATTTAATTTGTTTTAAGAGACTATAGATTCTTAACTAAGGTTTCAGATCTGCTGTTGAGCTGATATTGGCATATTTGATCAACCCATTTTAAAACACCCTGGTTAAATGTAATGTTTGTCTCTTTTCAGTTGAATCATTATGACATTTTATTTGTTTATGTGTACCATTGTTTTCCTCTGTTGTGTCTGTTGTGTGTGACCCTGCAGCAGTTTAGTCTTTAGATGCCTTTAACACAACAAAACACAAACATTGTTTTCTCTCTGCTCCTCAGCCGGCGAGGAGGCAATCTCTAACGGCCCCCTCACCCAACACCATATCCTGGGAAGAATACATCAGTGCTGACAACGGAAAGTAGGTTTTACAGAACCATTATGAGCACTAATGGTATTGTAAATCATAGACCTGTTGTATTTGTGAATGAAAGAACTACATTTCTGAAACCATTGTAGCTTATATTATCTTCTTGCTCACATCGAATGTTTCTTTGAATTGAATCTTCCCATGCAAACATCTACATTTTAGAGTCACAGAAAGTTCAACTGCACTTTTCAAAGCTGGTGTTCTTCTCACTGATAAGAGTCACATTCAGTTTCTGAATGAGACACGAGGCAGGGCGAGTTACTTCCGTCAAAAAAGATTTCTGCATGAAAAATCTCTGAGCTCCTCAGCATGAGATAACGTTCTGACAGGTTGTCGTTTGTCTCTCCGCTCAGAGCTCCACATGTGGGAAGAGAGCTGGTCTGCAAAGAGAGCAAGAAGAACTTCAAAGCCACGGTAGCCATGAGTCAAGACTTCCCTCTGGGCATCGAATCGTAAGTCTGCTCCTAACTCAGCCTCCAGACTGCTATTAAAACGCAGACGGACAACATGCTCTCATGTTATCTTCTCAGCAGAGTGGTGATAAAAAGAGAAATGCATTTGTTTCTGAATGTTTGTGTTTCAGCAATGTGTTACAGATCTATCCTCTCAAGCTTATAATATAATGGTGTTGATGAAAGCAGTTAATACTGTTAATAAATACTCAATTGGATATTGAAATAAGTAATTGGATATTAAAAATGTAAGAAAATATAAACAAATCAAAGCAATTATAATTAGATTTGTGAGCATTTAAATACAATAGCCTGTATTTCAGATTTCTATAACCTGCCCTTTGTTGTTGTTTATGTGCTTTGGTGTTTTTGTTTTCCCTCAGGTTATTGAATGTTCTGGAGGTCATTGCACCCTTCAAGCACTTTAATAAACTCAGGGAGTTTGTTCAGATGAAGCTCCCCCCCGGCTTTCCTGTCAAACTGGGTGAGTGGAAGTAACTCAAAAAACATTTCAAATATGGAAGGAAATCTACCGTTGACAGCTCTTACAAAATAAAAGCATGCCTGTAAGATTTCCACAGATTAAATGAGTAATTCCTCTTGTGTCTCTCTGCAGACATCCCAGTGTTTCCCACCATCACAGCCACCGTCACGTTTCAGGAGTTTCGCTACGATGAGTTCGATCAGACCATTTTTACCATTCCCAACGAGTATAAAGAAGACCCTAGCCGCTTCCCTGACCTTTAACATCTCAAGCAGGAACAGGAAAAGAAACGTGCGACAAGGCAACATCATGCTACAAGACATACTTTTTTAAAACTAAAAAGGAAAATAATTCCATCGCCCATCCCGTCCCTGAACACAAACTGCAACGAGTTTTACATCAAGACAGCTGCTGCAGAGAGGTCGACATCGCCTCATAATAACAGTGTTTTAAAAGCTCAGTGTTACAGTACTCACATTCAGGTGGGTTTAATCCCAGTCACATCAATTAAAGGGCATTGAATTTAAACTGGGTTTTCTGTAAACGGGGTATAAGTACAGTTCAGTTGATGCTATGTATTTAAGTGTGTAAGTAATGTTTATAAAGGGAATTTGTTTAACTGACATGTAATAAAGCAATGATATTACTGTGTAAGATTTTGGGGAGGGATTCTGCCAAAAATGACTTTTAGGGTCCTTTTTCTGGCTTCAGTAGACCTTTATAATTTGTTACAGGTCTGAAAGATGCTCCAAAAACAGATACAATTAAAATCATTATTGGGAATTGAGTGAAATTCCTAAGAATCAGTTTTTGCAGAATTCCTTAAATTGTGTGCGAGTGTGTGTAACATCGATTTTATTGAGCGTGGAGTAGCATCACTGAACCTTCGGGCACAATTTAGATCCACTACATTCAGTTGAGTTCATAAACTTTTCTGTGAAACCCAACACTTAATCCTGCTTTTTAAAATATTATAGTTTCATTTTGGCAACGCTACAAATGCTGCAATTTCTGTGGTAAATAAACGTTTTTTTATTTGTTTGAGTGGCAGCAAGTGTAGGTAATGAAGTCTAAGCCTTTTGTTTCATACTACACCTTTGTAAACTATACAAACTGTACAATCTTGCTAAGGAAGGGGACTGGGGATTGTATAGCAAGAAGATATTAGGAAATACAAGACTGTCTACAACATTCATGCCATTTTTACACCTAACAAGAACCAGGCTTTTCCCCTGCACAATATGTAAATACATGTTTTATGAGCTTTTGTCTTTTACGTTCTCTTTTATTATTCTTTGTGCTGATGAATTTAGGGAGACTTGTGGATTTTTTTTTTTATGTAGCGTCACAAGTTAATCAAGAATTTGTTGATTTGTAAAATGGTGGCAGTTGTGATTTTGTACATACTTGTAATGTTTTAAAGGACCAGTGAATCACTTAAGTCTTCTGTCATTATTTCACCAATCTCTGATAAACCTCCTTCAGGTGTGTGACCGGACAATCTTCTCCACAGGGGACAAACCCAGAGCAAAAAGCTTCCTCTGGAAAGTTGAACCCTTCACAAGGGTTTATAGCTGCTGCTGTAATTCATGGGCTTTCAATAACAACAGGTGCTCCTGTTTACATATGTGAAGGTTAAAGTGTAAACAATTGGCCTGTTTGCCTCTATGTTCAGTATCACTATAAACAGGGGTGCACATAAGTGGTACGCAGGTACGCATGCGCGGCAACAATCTCAAATGCGTACCGTCACTTGTGTCACAAAGCGCATTTGCGTACCGACGTACTTGTGAAGCTTTTCCAGAAGGCGGTTAGATCACCGGACGACAGAGTCGGTTTCCGTGTGCACAGACAGGGCTGCTGTTAACGTCGGTCTGTACAGCAGCACTGCGCTAAAACAGCTGATCACAACGTTCACACCCCCCACCCCCCGCTGACATTCGCGATACAGAGGGCTTCATGGGAACTTTGAGGGGAGCCGGAAGTTGGAGTACCAAACACTGACTCCAGGTACTCATCTCAGTACCTCAATGAGAAAGTTGTGTGCACCCCTGACTATAAACAAATACAGCACTTTTAGTTTTTTGCATTACATTCCTCAGTACGGGCAGCAAAGCTTGGCAGTGCACATCCTCACTGACATAAAAGTTGACATTTTATTCCATGCTCCTTCCTGTCTTAAGCTATTTAAATTGTCCATGTTTAAAGTAGGACATTCATCATTCAACATGTCTGATGTAGGGCAAAAACTTGTATAAATCTCCAACACTATTTTCATAAAAAATGCACTAAAAATAAAGATTCCACATATCTGCCATTTTCATTTGTTTTATTTCTTGTAATTGGAACGTCAGAATGGTAGTATGGCTTAAAAGAAATGTAAGTAATAAAATAGTGTATCTATAAAATAGACATAAAAGAACAAGTCTTTGAAAAATCTAAGTCATAGTAAAGTCTCTTGCAAAAATATTTCAAAATTCAGTGTATATTGTTGGAAAACAAGTCATAATGTTAAATTAGTCATATAGTCAGTATGTAAATAATATAGTTCGTCATATAGGCCTACACTTGTCATAGTATATCTTCTATAACTAAATAAAAAAGTTATAGTCTCTAAACAATTGTATACTCATAGTATATTATGTCTTTAAAATTAAATAAAAACGATCAAAGTTTAGTTTTTAATTATCTCAAATGAAAGGGCCACGTTGGTATTGTAGGCCAGTGCAGCCCCTCAGGCCTGTGGTGGTGTGTGCGGCCTCAGACTACGTCCGAAAAAGGTGGGGCACACAACCTTGATAACAGCCACATAAGGTCTGTGTTTAAGGTTTCCTCCCCAGCTAGTAGGCGCCTCGATATGTCAGTCAGAGGAATCGAGGTGTTCAATGTATTTAAACTTTGAGGGCAGCGCTTGGCGACGAGTTCGGTGCAATAAATTCGAGTAGTACGCGACGTCAAGGGATACGTTCCAATCCGAATAGTCGGTTCGGTCCACCCCTGGTCGTGACTTCAGAAGCTGAGATAGAGAACTGCTAGTTGCATGGCTACCGCGTCCTTGCTACTGTCGCTGAAATAGCGTTCTGTCATCAATGCTAGTGCTGCTAGCTAAAGTTAGCAACGTCTGTCCATAATTGTGCTGTTCAATGAGATAGGAAAATATATTTTGTGTATTTTGTGAAAACCTCAATCATATGCTGGCGTCTTAAATTAACACTGTTATATACTACGGTTTGAGCCTTACAAAAACCCGAAGTTTAATCAAGCAATTAGCATTTTTTGGGCGGTTATTGTGAGAGATATGATGCAACAGTGAAGAACTTAATTACAAGAACTGTAAAACATTTCGAACATCTACTAAAACATTTCAATGACAACACAAGTTGACAGTTTGACACAATTTTATTAGTTTCCTTTGGGAAAACCTACCGACTTCGTTGCAACACCACATTTCAATCTACAGTGTACACTTACAAAGAGTTCAGCTCGAACACAACGTTGTGCATTACAGTTAAACAAAAATGATTCAGCAACCAAAAGAATGAGCATGAAGCCAGTGCTGGGTGGTGAGGGACTAACAGTCTGAGGCAAGAAAGGACTTGATCCTGACTAGTAAATATTTACAGACAGCATTTTAGTGGGAAATGCTGAGTATTTTACTGCCAGTAAAACATTTGAACACAAAGGCAACAAAAACAAAAAATTCAACAGGATCTTAAAAAAGTACAGCATTGACAATTAAAAACCACGTTGCATGTTATTTATATTTAGTCCTTGTTTTCTCCTTTCTTTACAAAAATTATTTAACTGCTTTCCGTTTAAACCACCCCAATGCTTCTACAGTTAATACAACAAATCTTTTCAACTTTGAGTGAACAGGCACCGACATGTGGCCTATATTAAAAAATATAAAACAGAACAGTGGACAGAAAACACGGTCTGGTTCGGAACGCTCCTAGTCGCTCATCTCCATGTCTTCCTGGTGATGGTCGTCTCCATTTAGTTTGGACTTTTTGGGGATTTGGCCCTCGGATCTCTCTATCTCCTCCGGGCCTTTGCGGGTGGGGGTTGAGGCGGAGTCAGAGTCGGTCTTCCTCTCATCGTCATCCTCCTCCAGTCCTTCCTTTTCACTGTCATAACCCTGCTCCTCTTCATCGTAATCCCGGGTCACCTGTCCAAACAATTCAAGTAACTTAAATTCAAGTCCCATGAAATGTAGCCACCTGGGACTATATTTAATGGTAATGTCAGGCGCTTAATGTACCTTCACGTCTCCCTTCTCGCTATCAGACTTGCGATCGCGATCTCGCTCTTTGTCTTTGACCTTCTTCTTCTTGCTGCTGGAGCGTTCTCTCTCATCTCTGCTGCGATCTCTGTCCTCCCTCCTGTCTCTTTCCCGGTCCTTCTCACGCTCCTTGTCCTTCTTTTTTTCCTTCTTGTGACTGCGAACATGACAAATGTATCATTTTTAGTTTGTATACTAAAAATAACTGCATGTATTACATTGAATGTTAAACGTGTTGAACGACTCACCGTTTGGGCGATGGAGACCTGGACAGCTTCTTCTTGGGGGACCGAGTTGCACTTCGGCTTCGCCTGTGTCTCCTGAGAAGCAACATTAAAGAAAGATCTGTTAAGAAATCTGTCATTTCCAAATGATGTACTGCTACCAAGGAGAATTATTTTCTGTTGTGAATGTAACATCTCATTGAGGAAAGTATTGTTTCAATTGTAATAAGTCATCTTAATAATTAGGTTTTAAAATATATGATTGTATTCCATTCAGACAACACAAATGAGTGGTTCATTTCAAGAGACCGTCTGATGTTTATAAATGTTGTTTTATTAAAGAGCAATAGTATCCATTCAGACGTTGTTGCCATTCCAATTGGTTAGTCCACAGAAGAATGACTTAAATAATAGTTATCTGCTCAAACTCACCGACTGATGCTTCGGGACCTCCTGGCACTGCTGTAGCTCTTTGGAGGCGTCTTTGACCTTTTCTTGGACTTTTCCTCCTTCCTCCTGTCCCTGATCCACACAACCACGGTCAACATTAGCAAACAGCAGAACATTGCATCAAAAAAAAGCAGTAAACTTGATCTACTGGTAGCTTTTTTCAAAGTAGCGTGTGTTCAAAAGGTGGTCGTTAAAAGTCATAACACAGACTCTGCACTAGTCGACACACTTTGTGGCCGATAAAAGTAAGTTGTGTTGCAGAGGATCAGTGCAGCTGCTGACCTGGATTTACTGCGGCGGTTCCGGTCTCGAGAGTGAGTCCTCCTCCTGCGGGGGCTCTTAGACCTCCTCCTGCTCCTCGAATGGGACCTCCGTCGAGATTTGCTCTTCGAACGTCTGCCGAAATTAAGAGATTCAACATTTTATAACAGAAAACTTCAGTCAGTACAAAATATTCTATTTACGTCTTGTATGTAGAGGCCACAATCCATTTTGTTTTTCCATCTGACAGTGCGAGTAACAGCTTGTCATGCAGCGGTCTTTACCTGTGTCTTGAGCGAGACCTGGAGCGCCTGCGCCGGGAACGCGAACGGGAGCGGGAATGTTTACGCTTGTCCTCCTTTTTATCTGCAAAATCAGTGAAAGAAGTTAAACATCTTCATGGTAGGAAACATAATGCTCACCAAGGGGTTTGAAATTAGCCTCATATTGGTGAGTAAGTCTCAGAAGGCTATAGGTGGCTAATATTTGTAGCAATAATAGTCAGTTAGTCACGTAATAACAAAGCTATTTTGTATCTTTTTTGGTTGCTAATTGTAGACATGTACTCAGACAATAGAACAAATATTCCACTGAATACGGACTGAACTAAAGTGCAGCACCATATTTAATGGATCAGGACGTCAGCAGCTGAATGAAAGAAGATCAGAGCACTCACTTCCTGGCTCGATGGCGGCAGAGATGAGAGACTGCGCCTCTCGGACTCTCTTCATGGCCTCTTCAATCTCCTTATTGGAGGCATCGTTCTTCATCCCTGGATTCATGCCCAGTCCGGCGGCCAATGGGTTCATTCTGAAAATGCCATCAATGATTTAGTTTTTCTCTTCAAATAAATATTTAGGATTGCATAATCTGCAGGATTGTGGATCGTCTCTTACTTTGGGTCCATGGACTGCATGAGCTTAAGGAAGTCTGCAGAAAGAGCCTGAAAAGAGATACAAAGAGGAAATGACTTTTAGAAGGAAATGATCTTATCTAAACATGCGGTGACTAAGGGCGACTGAGCAGGTGCTCACCTGGGGGTTCATGTTGGGGCCCTGCATTCCCATGGCAGCCATCTGCTCCATGTTAGGAACTCCAAGCCCCCCGAATGGATTCCCTCCCATCTGAAACAACACATGCTCTTTACAATGTAACCCTCTTCAACATCTAGTTCATGTTTACCTTCTTCAACACATCAATATAAATCAAATGTCAATTAATCAGAGACCTAGAAGAGTTTACATCCTCTAAAAAACAAATGTCCAAAACTCACAGAAGCCTGGCCTCGTAAAAACATTTATAATATTACATCATTTGTCTTAGTTATGTTGAGGAGTCAACTAAAGCTTCTTTTCATTTGTCGATAGAGACAGTTAATGTAAGTCCATGGTGATGTCTTTCAAATACATTTTAACTACTAATGAACCCAGAATGTGAACTGTTCAAATATATGTTATGACACTTTTGATCAAACAAACATGTACAGTAATAGGAAACTATCACAATTTCAATGCAAAGTTTAGTCAAAGCTCACCAGAGGATTGGGTGTGGGAAGAAGCCCCCCCCCCGGCATCATTCCTGCCACGGCATTGGCCGGGGCGAGAAGCGACATAGCTTTAGATTCATCAGGAATGACTCCTGGAGAAAAACAAAAACATTTCAGTCCACGCACGGCGCAAACATCGATAAACACTCAGACAAGACTTGCAGACAAGCCTCCTCTTACTACTCTGAGGTAAAAAAATAAAGTATGAAAAATCCACTTTTTTTTGTCTTGTCTGTAAATCTTGATCCCTGACTTTTGTTGTTGTTGTGAAAGTATGATTGTAGGATTAGCAGCTATGAGTTTATAAGTCACAATACACACTGTGGTCAACACTGCCAAGATTTTTTCACCTGTACTTGATTTTTAAGTCATGAACCAAACGTGAGCAAGCACAGCCAGTTGTCCCGTGGGATGTGCTCTCAACTTTCATTAGATGTTTTATGAACAAGCGACTCGTGCCGGCTGCTTCGCTATAAAGCACACAAAAACATTGAGATACAGAAAACAAAGTTCATGATTTGGGTGTAGACAAGGATACATTTCAACATCACTTACCATTACCTATACTAAAACAGAAAAGGTTCACACATATTACCTTTTCTGGGCTTTTGTTGGTGGTAACTTTGTACAATCCCACCAAAAAAACAGAACAACTTAAATTGGAGACCAGATCAAGTATTGCCAACACGCTACAATACTGCTAAATTGTAGCCAACAGTTTGTCACTAAAAGCACTAAACAATATCAAAGATAAACTGCACTTAACATTAAAGGGCTATTAAAGCTGTGACAAAATCATGACAAATGTGCCCAGAGCTGAAGAAACCAAACAGGAAAATCTAATGGAGATGGTCATCCATGGTGCAATCTGAAAACAGTCTATTTATAATCTGATATTTTACTTTATAAAAAAAATTAAATAAAGGGGGGGAGAGAGGGAGACACACACACACACACACATGCGCCCACACACACACACGCACACACACACAACAGAAAGGACACTTGAGAAACAGGATAAGGCTGCAGAAGACAAAACTGTTGGTGGCATTTTCAGGAGGGCCTGGTATATAGGGCTGGCTGAACCAGGAAAAAGAACTGTAAAACACAACAACAAAAGAAACACCACTGTTAAATGTGAGATTCACTCAACTCATGTGTGGAGAGGGTCAATAAAAAGCATTTGTACTGCAACATCAAGCAGAGAAACTACTTTCATCTGGTGTGTTAGTGAAAATTTGGAAATACAGATGCAGTTTAAAATATCAAAAGGCTTTGGCACATTCAGCAGGTAAATGCCAAAGGCAGTTTGTGCGCTCATCATGTTAATCAACTTCCACAACACCTGTTCAGTCTAACTGTAGAGGATGGCACACACCTTCAAAGTATATTCTAGCATGCACAGCTGATTAGTCCGTCTACCCTGCATGCTTTGTGCTGGTGTAGGGATGCCCCGAACATTTAACCCCAATCTGAGCCATTTAATATATCCATTCTGCCATGTCCCGATCCAATATTTATATTTTCCTTTATTATTCAGCTATAATCAAGCCAATATTACACTTAGTAATGAGATTTAGTTTGTATGTGTTTGGGAAACAGCTCTGCATTAAAGGAAAACAAGGCTATACCCTAAACACCCACACAGGAGAAATGATCAGGTATTAGGCAGATTAGACTTCTCTTTAGCACCGAGTGGACCTGTAAGACTGCCATTACATCTATTAGGGCGGGACAATTTACACCTGGAGCTAGGAGACATTAGTGAAGTGCCAGCTATAGCCCTGCCCAATAAACCTACAAAATATCTCTCATCAGCCAGCAACTGAAAACAGCAGTGCATGTGCAGGGATCAATGTGTTCCTACAGCTAGCTAATTGTTTTTGCAGCAAAGAAACTACATGCATGTTTGCTACAAATTTCTTACAATATATTTATTTAAAAAAAGAGCTGTGAAACAACTGCAGAATGCATATTGGTTCAAGCACAATGGAACATTGTAACAACTGGTGTTTCTTTTGTGCAAAAGGTTTAAATATAAACAGAGGATCAGAGAGCGTGTGCATGATTCAAAGTCAAAGCCAATACATTTAAATATATCTTGTCCGATTTGATCTGCCTCGATACAAACCAGCAGATCTGCTCGGGGCATCCCTAGTCTGGTGATGCTCATTGAAATGTATTTTAATGTAAAATGTATTTAAACATGTGAGGTATTGAGATTGCCCTACACCCTCTCCCACCACCCCCTCATTTTGCTTAAGAGTTGTGTGGCTATCCTTTAAAAAAAAAGATGCCTTAAACAGAGAGAAACAAAGTAAATAATTAATATTTTACTGGAGAACAAGAGAGAGAAGGGGGCTTGCGAGCCTGGTGCCATTATTTTTTCTAATCTCCTGATGGCAGCAGAGGACCACTTTCAGCCAGCAAGGAAGGGGCTCTCTGCAAATGACTTGTCCACTATGAAACCACAACACAAATAACAGAGAGAGAAGTTTACAGCTAGATTGTCAGACATGGACACAAATTCACATTTCCCTTGTATATACCTAATAATGCCAAGCATTGAGAAGCTTAGCGATTTCTCTTGGTCACAAAATAACTCAATGTGTTTGCAATTCTATCAAAAATAACCTACACATTGGGATGTATGTTTAGAGATAGCCATGTGAGCAGGAGAGTAATAAAGCAGACACCCACCTTCAGCAAAAGGGACCACGATCAAAGCTCGGTCCACGAAGACGGTGTTCGTCAGGTGTTGGGAAACTCCCACCGACTCAGACTCAAGGAACTTTACAAAACAGACACGTGAAGTCACAGGCAAGGGAGAGTCACTGGAAGAAAATACAGATATGTTGTGCAAAGAATACAAACAAGGAGAAAACATGCCTTCTTCAAACTGACCTGATTGAGTTTTGTGTCCCCAGGGACAAGTAACTTAAAAATGGATCATGGTATATACAGTCTCTACATCCTCGATTTAGGCAAACAATGAATCTTAGGATATATTTTGTAGCGTATATAGTGTAATCACAACTCTCATTGACAAATTTGTTGAGAATCACTGTCAATCACTGACGCTTTGAACCTTTGTTGTTGTTAGTCCTCGACATCTCCTACCTGCTGACAAGCCAGGTGTAATTGGATACAGGAAAATACAAAGCAGAGAACAATTATTTCCTACTATAGCCAACTTTGAAATACTGTATATTATGTATTAGCATCCCAAGTGAGAGACAGGGACCTTAGAAATTGGGCACAGGAAGTGACTGGCATTACACTATAAGCATTGAATTAGTGTGGTTTTCCACTTCGTATAAATCAGGATTTTCTACTTAAGGAAATACTGTAGCTGTGACTTCTTGAATCTAGAGACGAAAGTCATGGTCCTCATTGATTCATCTGATAATTACTCAAGTTTTTAGTATATACAAATCACAAAGAGAAAGTCATAGCAAGAAGACATGGACAAAATATCCCATTTACAGTTTTGTTAAGCAAAGAAAGGCTTTGTGTAGGGCTGAAAAAAACGAATCAATCGCACCAACTATCAATACAAATGTAGGTGTCATTTATCAAACAAAAATGCCATGCTAACGCTATCATAAATAACTCAAATATGATAATTGTCAATTGAATATCTTTGTGTTTTAGATTAAACAAAAACTTTGTATGGAAACTTTGATTTACCATTTTGTAAACCTACTTTCAGATTGGTGGCTAAGATAATGAAGCAAACACAACTGGTTTAATTCTCATGTACGACTGGGAGCTATCACACCACTAAGTCTGTTTTAAAAAAGGACATTTAATTCCGTCCTAAATCTCTCTAACAAACACAACAGGAGAAATTATCAGTATTAGTCCCTCATCCCTGCTGAAGCTTCCACTAAAGGCGCGGGGAAACGTTAGTATTAGCATGAGGCCTACTCGGCTCTGCAGGCCTAATGAGAGGCCGAGCCCTTAACAACTTTAGCTCAGCAACATAGCGTTTTACTTATTTATATTTCACAATACTCACTCAGGTGGAAACAGTTTGAGCTCCTCTATGTTTCCGAGGAATCCGAACAGAGTCCGCATTTGCTCGGACGTTGTGCTCGGGGAAACATTAGTCACCTGAATGACGTGCGTGTTAGAATTCATTTTGCAATGAGTGCTAATCGAGCTAGCTAGCTCTGCGCCAGCAACGTGCCTGAATTTAAAACAAAAAAGAGACGAGCTATGTTGTGTTTACGAGGAAAAGAGCGTCAGGCGATTACAAGACCTGGCATTTTTCCTGTAAACAGAAGCTAGTTAATGTTTGCTGCGGGCTAATGTCTACGACAGCCGCGAGCACAGAGCAACAATAGCGCTGCCGAAAATGTCGTGAGGCACTGGTGCCGCATTAAGGTGCAGTTTCTAAACTCGTATTTGTGAATCTTCACCTTGTGTGTCCCAGTAAAATAGTGCAAATACATATGACTGTATTTTTTTTGGTTAATTATTATGGGGGGGGGGAATCGAACACGTCACATTACCTGAATATATTCTTACTAAATATATTATTAGGTATTTGTTGTTTTATATTAAGAAAACGTTTGTCTGTTAGATTTTGTTATTAGAATATGTATTTTGTTCATTAAAAATACTGAATCGAATCATGAATGAATTATTTGAAAAATAAATGTATTCATATGTAATAAACACATGAATAACGTGCAATTCTTCTACAACGATTGCTGAGTCGTTTATGTAAAAATTGCACTTTTCCAACAGTCCTTAGAGGCAGCATGGCTGAACCCAAAGTGGGTGTGGCTAGATTGCGTCACAGACAGTATGTTGTTGCTAGGTTGTTAGCTAGAGATTTATCCAACTAATCGTTTTGCCATTTTTTCTCTTGAAATCACAAAGCCCTGCAAACACCGTAATAGCGAAAGAACGACGCATGTATGCAAGGGTGCATTTGCATTTTAAACAACCAAACAGCTTTGCTTTATGCTCGGGTTAAGCAAACAGCGTCGGACTCAACGACCAACATAGAGGCGCAAAGTCGACGTCTGCTAACTTAGCATCTTCGTAAAGCAGCCGGCATGTCAACAGTTTGCCGCAGGGTTTCTTACTGCAGGGATTTAGTTTGTGGGGCATTTCGTGGACTTTAACCTTGTCCTTATTGTCAATGTTAAGTCAGCTAATGCAGCATTACTTCAGAAACGTGAGGCTCTAGAGACACGGGGCGAACAAGATGGCAAAATGAAACTGCAGAGATCAACGACAGGCAAGTACATGCAGTTTTTCTTCCCCATCTGTTAAACCAAATAGTATTGTGTGTGCATGTTAACTAATGAGATTAAGAGGTTGAGAGCTTAAGTTTGCACGGTGCAACATTGGCGAGGAATGGTTGTTAAACCTGCGATGCAAGAGCTCTTGGAAACTAGTATATTTTGCCCATAGACTGTTTACATAAAGATTTACCCCAAACACTTTGAATATTATGGAACCCATGTATTCCAATGCACGAAAAATACAATTAAAAGGTATACAGGCTTTGAGTATTGGAAGATGTTATTCTAACAAACTACAAGACTTAAAGTACCTGTCATATTTTACTGTGGTGTTTCACTAAAGGTAAAGGTAACATAATCAACAAACGAGTGCACAAAATGTAGACCTATATACTGTTTATTGCAACCAGTTCCATCTCTGTATTTCAAGACTGAAGTATTGTTTTTTTTCTTACAGGAAGATGTGGGTAATTTACCACACATAGCTACAACATGGAGGGACATAACCTGGTGACTGTAATGCCTTGCACACCCCCACTCTTATGACACCAACAGGGAGATATGGGCTTCCTCAGACTGGTGGTCAGAATCATGGGTAGGATCAGTACTTTCCGGTCCTATCAGTTTGTGCTTCTGCTCGCTGCTGCGCTTGCTGTTGCAGCTTTTTACTACTTCGGCTCAGAGAGGCAGAACTTCTCCAGCACCACAAAGAGGATCAAGCAGACCCAGTCCACACACAACACCAACAGAAATGATGCAGATTTAACTGTGGACACCAGGCTCTCACCCAAAGATGTATCTGAGGAGCAGGGAGAGGAACAGCAAGATGTGGGAGGAGTGAGCGAAGAATTTAGGCCTGGGAAGGGAGAGATTGGTGGCTCTGGTGACCAACACTACCACGCACTCATGATGTTCACCAAGGTGGACAAAAGTCGGAGTCTGCAGGACAAGTTCAGAGTGGCAATGTTGTCTATGGTGAAGCACGGAGAGTTCATGGAAGGAGAAGTGTTGGTCCTTCATTTTGTGAGCGATCCAGCCAGCAAAGAACTGGGAGAGAAGATGCTGCAGGAATTTCTCCTTGATGCAACGTTTAAGTACGAGGTAAGCATTCTAAAAAAGTTAAACCATACTAGGAATCTGTTATCTATTGCTTTCAATATAAGAGGTTTTGGTGTCCTTTTTAAGGGTTCTTGTTTCAAATAACTACTTCATTTTATTTTCCCCCAGTAAATTAACTAAGTGAGTATTGTCTTCAAATCTCTGGTGTGATACAGTGGCAGAGAAACACATCTTGTATTTAAACTACACAGCTCTGATGAACCCGCAGTAGAGTTTCTTACAGATGCAAAAGAGTATCATTATGTTAACTTAACCAACATATTTTTAACAGGAATAAATAATTGTCAGACAAACACATATGCTGTTTAAAGTTGATACACATGGGGGCAGTGTTGGCCTGCAAATCTCATTCCTTACTGATGGAGGCATCCCCTCCCCTACTGTGTTCTCTCAGCCAAAACAGAGGATTATGTTCCCTTTGTGTTGCATGCAATGTCCTGCCTTGTTCATCCTCTTTTGTATTCCTCTCAGAGCACAAGATCTTAAAACCTGTTTACAATTTTCTCTCTCTGATCCTCCTCACCTGCCAGACCTTTCCTCTTAGGAATGTCTCATCATCGACAACATCTGCTGTTGTTTCAGCTTTGTATTGTCTCAGGCTGATCCCTTGGCTGCTCTGGTAGGGTCGAGGTTTACTCAGCTTTGCACCTTGGCATTTTGGAGCCTGTGGGTCAGATGGCTTGCTGCTCATTTAACTCTCTGTACTTAGACCAAGCTAAAAGTCTTGTAGGAGAACAACTGTGTGTTGAGTCAAATACAGAAAACATTGATCTGCTGTGTAAGACAAGACAAGCTATTTCTTAAAAAATACATGATACTAGCGTGCAGAGATTATCAACCAAAACACTTCTTTCAAGTATAACTCAGCCAATAATTATAAAGGCTCTGTGTATAACTATTAAAGTTAGTAAAAATACAGAACATGGATAGGATGCTATGGTGGTCAAAAAATCTGTCCACAGTCAGAGACACGGAGATATAAACACCTGTCAAAGTACACACAAAATCTTCTTCAGTAGCCAATAAGTACGTAGGGGTTGGGGGTCTTTCATAATGTACAAGTCCCAAACAGCCCATGAAATCAGCTATAGCAATCCCACATTATGTATGTACACCATCAACATTAATAGTAGTGCTTCTCAGATAGATAGCGCTGTTTGTTGTGTATTCGAAATGCATTTGTGCATCACAAGTGGGTAGGAATTTAGCTGTATGCAGTTAAGCATATTTTACTTATCAGCTGACATTTGCGGTGCTGCCAATATATCTATGATATGCCCAAAATCACCAAAAATAACATACTGATGTATGAGTAATCAATCAATCAATCAATCAATCAATCAATCAATCAATCAATCAATGTTTATTTATATAGCCCAATATCACAAATGTTACATTTGTCTCAGTGGACTTCACAGTTTGTACAGAATATCAGTATGACAATACGACACCCTCTGTCCTTAGACCCTCACATCGTACAAGGAAAGACTTCCAAAGAAGGAAAAACCCCACAGTTTAAAGGGGAAAATGGGAGAAACCTCAGGGAGAGCAACAGAGGAGGGATCCCTCTCCCAGGACGGACAGACGTACAATAGATGCCGTGTGTAAATCGAAGAGATAATACATTTACAACATAGGTAGACCAAATGTTTGAAAATGCATGTGTCTATAATAAGAAGATGAATCCACAAGGATGTCAACAATCCTGTGGGAGCCATCAGGGAAGTGGTATGATGAAAGTCAGGCAGGACCGCAGAGACAGGCTCAGCCACGACTCGAAATCCAGGACTCCGATCAGGACTCAGGATCAGCCACGACTCAGGATCCCAGCGTAGATAGACACCAAAAAGAAATTTGGGGGAAGCTGGGTTATTCCGAACATGAGAGTACACAGGTACAGACAGAGAGAAGGAAGAAGTAAGATGTCCCCCGACAAATTAAGCCTATAGCAGCAAAACTAGGGGCTGAATCTAATCAGCCCTAACTATAAGCTTTATCAAAAAGGAAGGTCTTAAGCACACTCTTAAAAACGGATAGGGTGTCCGCCGCCCGAACACAAACTGGAAGCTGATTCCACAAAAGTGAAGCTCGATAAGAAAAGGCTCTGGCTCCCATTGTACTTTTAAAAACTCTAGGAAAAACCAACAACCCCGCATTCTTGGAACGCAATGCCCTAGTAGGACAGTATATTATAAGGAGTTATTTAAGGTAAGATGGCGCCTGACAATTACGGGCTTTGTAGGCGAGAAGAAGAATTTTAAATTCTATCCTGTGTTCTATAGGGAGCCAGTGTAAGGCAGCCAGAAAAGGAGTAATGTGGTCCCTTTTCCTAACTCTGGTTAGTACACGAGCTGCAGCATTTTGAATCAACTGAAGCGACTTAACTGACTTCTTGGTACACCCTGATAATAAAGAGTTACAATAATCCAGCCTTGAAGTAACAAATGCAAGGACTAGTTTCTCTGCATCGTTTTGAGGCAAGATATGCCTGATATTTGCAATGTTACGTAGATGAAAGA